GCACATAAAATGGTAAGCTCTGACTAAAGATAACTTCTAACATAGCAACTTTGAACAAGGGACAGAAATTTTTGAAATAAAATAATGAATCTTATGGAAATTGTTTTGAAAATAAAGGATAAACCATATTCTGTAGGTGAGTTGCTTAAAGGTTTCTCCTAGGAAACACATCCCAAGATCAGTTACATCTCACCAATCCAAGTCAATTTAGAAAAAAAGTGATTTAGAAAACTTTAGTTTTCACCTTAGATTGCCTACATAAATTGTCAATTGGGATTAAAGGTCTATGTTTTCCGAAAGTTGCAGGACTGAAAGGTGCAGTTGCACCACCAGTGAAATAACAGCCATAATAAAAGGTTGCTAGAAAGACAACAACAATAAAGCACAATTTCTAGCATTTATTTTCATTGAGGAGATAACATGGAAAGCTCTCATTAGTCATAATAACTGTATAGTGGTTAAAGCTATTACATAGTGCACCAAGATATAACATGCCCATACAGAGGTAATTACTAAGCAGCTTTTTGTAAGAAGTTACTGAGTACAGCTGAATATTACAGCAAATTCTTACTGGGGCAATGGATGAACATCAGTCTTTCCTGCTCCATCACTACCTGCATTCCAGGTATCATTGTACGTAATTATAAAGACAGGTGGAAGCACTTCACCCTCACTAGCCTCATGGCATAATGGTTAAAACTGCTTTAGTGCAGCGAAGACTCTTCATGTCCTGAGTTCGATTCCAGACTGAGGTAGCCGACTTGAGACCGACTCAATCTTCCATCTTTCTGAAGTTGGTAAATTGAGTGCCCAGCTTGCTGGGGGGAGGGGTGCAATGTGTGACCTGCATAATTAAATAGTTATGGAATGGTATATAAACAGAACTCTTTGTTTTGTTCTTATTAAGGTATCCCTTTATAGCTCAGTTTAATATACTGTATTTTATGGGGACACAAAGCAATAACACCAAAACAAACAACTGGGTTTTAGGTTTTTTTTAAAAAAATCTTTGCTGTTACTTCCCTTTTGACTGAGTCTATTTGCTTTGCTCATTTCGACAAAAGATGGCCATTTCTACTTTAAATAACCTGTACCTATTTGTGTATTTTGACCACAACTTCTACAACTGTAAGAACTGTAGTCCAAAACTAGATACATGTACACTTCTACTTTAACTCCACAGCTCAGCAAGGAAGGTTATATTTTCATGCATTATCTTCACACGTGCATTTGGGCCTCAGGCTTAAATCCATCATCACACTTTGCCTATCCTTTGCAGCTCCTTGCAGTGATTGATTATCTCAGCCCCTCCCAAATCTGTTTTTTTGGAGGTGCACAGTGGCCTGCAGTGAGAAGTCTGCTCACTCCTGCCAGCATAAACCCAACATTCAATCTTGTCCATGGAGATATAATTAATATTCAATAGTCAAGTAAGATAACATACAATATCAGGATGGGAAGAAGAGGTCCTTTGGCCAACATAAAAAACAAACACACTTTTGTTTGCACACAGGTTCTACCTAATATCGTGGATTAAAGGGTACCAGTAAACTCTAAAGCTTATTCACTATTTGTGACATTTTGTTTGGTCCTCATAAAGATGTTGTGTGACCAGTGAGTTTTAAGAAAGATTTTTGCCTGATATTCTAGAGAGCTCCTAACATTCAAAAGCAATAGTACCATGCTAGATGTGCACATTTGATAGTAAATAAAATACATCATATGCATAATTTATGCTGGCAGGATTGCTCAAGTAAGTTACACATCTGGCTGTGAAGCTAGAGGTTGGAAGTTTGATTCCACACTGTGCATCCAAGGAGAAGAGAGAGTCTGTGCAGCCTTTGGCAAGGGGGCACAAATCCAAGGCTCCCCAAGGAGAAGGGAACGGTAAACCTTTTCTGAGTACTGTTTATCTAGAAAACCCTGGAAAGGGTCACTGTAAGTCAAAACTGACTTGACAACAGATAGTAATAGTAGTTGCTGTCGTTCTTTAACAATAAAGGTCCTCCTTAAAAGAACCCACACAGTTCTCAAGTGGACATTAAAAAACCAATACTGTTTGTAGTTTCTGTCAATCCTCTTTCCAAACAGGGTCAATCCGTAAGCACTTCTAAGATGCTCCAAAAGCCTCTCATCAGAGATCCCTGGAAAATATAGAACTGATTTTACAACCTTTCAGTGTACTCAGGTGGAGAGTATCACAGATGGAGATGTTGAAACTGGGTAACATTTTAAAGCAGAGCTGACCAATTAACAATGTACACCACTGTCTTTCAGATGTATACAAGTGTATACAAATGAATGCACATAAGCACTTGTTCTAGGAAAATGTGTTAGGGAAAGAAGAATGAATGCATGAATGCTGTAACTATTGTTGCACTTTCCTTGAGCATGTACTTCCATGCTCAAGGAAAGTGCAACAATAGTTACAGCACAAATACCAGAAACCACCATCCCAACATTTTACATAGTTCTGTCTCAGATATCCAAATAAAAATCATCACCCATATTAATGAAAAATGTACTGGCTGCACTGCTGTTAAATTCCACTTCCAAAATGCTGATATGAACGAAGGGACTTTTTCTTTTTTTCTTTCTTTTTCCCCCTTTCTTTTTGCCTCACAGCAGTTTGTGGTGGATGAATTTTGTTTTATTTTGGTTCCACCTTCTTTGTTCTATTTTCCTATAATAACTATTTCTTATCTTCAATAGATAAAAGGCAGTCCTAACATGTTTCATTTGGGGACCAAGATAATGGTCTCCATTTGAAAAATGGTATCCTCCACCCACCCCCCAATACATTTGCTGCATCAGTTTTCATCTCAGTTCTAATTTAAAGGTCTAGGCTAAACAGCACAAAGCAACAGATATAAAGTAAAAAAAAGCTGCAACTTTCCAGTATAAAAGGCACAGCAACTGCACAAAAAGAGATGAAGCACCATGACTGGAATTAAGTGGGTTAGGAAAAAAAAAAAACCAGTCACGCCTGAATTACGAAAATGTTTATTTGTGAATAGCAAAGATTAAGATGTTTTAAAAGCGTGACAATATAATTATGAAACCAGAAGGCAACAATTTTACAAACATACATTTAAGGAAAGCAAAGGACAAAGGAAACAGGACTACAGCATTAATGGAGACATATTAACTACCAAAGAAATAGTGCAAACAAGCCTTACTTCTGCAACAAAAGTGGACATTTAAATTCACAGAACAGATTCTGAAGAAAATACTAAATAGAACTGAAGTAAGCAGGGGCCTCATCCTTTCTCCTAGTGCTAAGAAAATAGTTGCTAACAGTGAATTTTCAAAGGCATCTGTAACACTAAATTGATGGTTCCCACCCTTGGGTCCTCAGATGTTCTTGGACTAAAGTCACAGAAGCTCTCACCAGCAAGGATTTCTAGTAGCTATAGTCCAAGAACATCTGCAGACTCAAGGTTGGGAAGCCGTGTAGTAAAGAAAACAGGAAAGGTCCCCTGACATCAAGACATATTTACATTCATATCCTCTGCATATGGAACTGCTCAAAGTTACTTGGGTCACAATGTATATTCAGTAGAAGGTAGCATTATTTTTAAGAAATGTTGGTATATTGTCATTTCACTTTCCTGGCACTCTTTCCTCATAAAAATGTATGACAAATCTGAAGAACATCCTCTTTCAATACGGACAAGATGATCTACAGAATCTCAATACCCAGAGAAAGAGATCAAATGATTCCAACTGTTCTAGATGAAAAAATTAGTGATGTTTAGGACAACAATAAAAGTGCAGATGTACTGGGGCCCAATGCTTATATGGTGAACTCAAGTCCCTACTGACATGCAGGGGTCTCCAGTATGCCAAGATAGGAAAAAAATTATGTTTTCCACTACAACACACAGAATACCTCAACCAGCAAAGCTAGTTAAGTAAGATATTCCGGCTTTTGTAGCTGGAAGAGTAACTTTCCCAATTTTCGCTCCTATTTCTTAGAGGTTCATTTGGAACAACAAGATGTTAATAAATTTTTCCAAAGCTTTGCCACTCAAAATATAGTTTTTGCCAACTAGACACCTTTTGGGTTTGGACTTGCATAAAATTAGTGAGAAGGGAAGAAAAGAACACATCAAAGTAATTCACAGTTCTCCCTTATGCAAAAATCACACTTATTCTGTATCAAAACTTTTCCTCATCAAAGTGTAGCACACAGACACAAATAATACATATGTTGGAAAAGTAGCTTTATCAGTCCCTAAGTTATATAATAGAACTTCAGCTTTAAATGTCTTAGCTGACCACATGAAGGAAATTTCTCCTGTTTTAGCCAAACTAACAAAGAACATACCCTTCATGTATTTGGAAACGTTTAACAGTGTAATGTGGCTTGTGATAAGAAGGAAAATAATGAATATATCTTTAATAAATATGTGAATTAATGACTTGATTTAGTACTTTACAGTAGCTGAATAAAAGTCTGTTTTAAAGCCATCCATATGGCAGCTGTTATCACCAGACAAGCTATTCACACAGAGTCAGCCCCTACTGTAGGCACATTTTTCTCATAAACCTTTTTGTGGCAGTCGGTACTGGTATGGAGAAAAATCACTCAACTGCAGAGGAAGGCACTCTACGCAAATACAATCAACCCCAAGGTATTGATTCCTACAAAACAGACTGTGGAAACAATTCAAGGTAATTCCTACATCCAGATTATTGCCTTTATTTTATAGTGACAAGATATGATACAGTTTAAAGCTGTAGTAGTAACATTTCAACCAACATTACAGAACTGTTACAAACAAAGGTTCACCAACAACATAGAATCATTGTTAATAATAAAAAAAAAGAACACTAAACCAATTCCTGTTGGGCTTTAGAACACATGCACAGCTATAACTGTTTAGACACCAGCCGCAACACCTTGAAAGAAGTAATAGTTCACTACATGGAAATTACGCTGCTTCTATGCCATGCAATTACAAAAATCTTTAAAATGAAGTTTTTGTTTCTCCTACCTGCTCATTATTTTCCATTTCTGATTCTCTGCTTTCATATGGTATATCTTCAATAGAGTAGCCATTTCTTTTGCTGCAATTTTCTTCTGGAAAACTTATCATGGCTGAATGACATCCATTTTCATTATGTTCTGTAGACCTCTGGTTAGCATGTAACAAAAAGTCTTCATTCAAGCTTGGAGTATTTTCACAAGAATATTCCCATGTTTCATAGTTTTCTTGTATTCTTGACTCATTTGGTTTGCAGTTGTCTAAAGGTTCAGAAACCGTATGACTAAATGAAGGAATATTTGCTTTTTTTTCATCACAGACTGCCATGTGGCATTCATAAAGGCAAGTTGCTTCTGGACTCAACTCCTCCAAAATGTTATTTGGCCCTTGGAAATCAGCTACATGTGATCCAGGTTGATTACTTCTACCACATTGACTTAAAGCACTATGCTCTTTATTACCCATTGCAGATAACGGTCTGGATTGCAACTGGTTATATTTTCTTGTTAGTGATCCATTTTGTTTTGTAAAGGGTAAGAACGTTCCTTGGTTTGTCTCAAATTCAAATGGTAGTGTCAGAAAGGTTTTTACTTTCTTCAAACAGTTTTTTTTGAAGAGATCTCTTCCTGATTCACTTCTGCGTGGCTTTGTCTCTGCTTTTGCACTGCTGTTTTCTGTGACACATTTAGTAACCTGAGTTTGTAGCCAGCAATTCTGTTGACAGCAAAATCTTTCATTCGCTAAGTTGACTTTCATTTTGCTTGTACCATTGTTTTTCTCATTTGTGCTGTACACGCTTGAATTTCTACTGCCATCAGTTTCCTCACCTTCTGGAGAGGAATTCTCTCTTATCTCTTCCTCTCCGGATTGTTCATAAAGTGAAATCCTCTTGTAGACCTCTCCATTCCACAAGTTATCACAACTGTCTGGACACAAAAATACAGGTTGTTACTGAAAATACTTTCAATGTTTTCTTCCCCCAAGGGGAAAAACCCCAGTGATATTGCTATAGATGTATCTGTATAGCTAAAATATCATTACAAAGGAAATGGCCGTCAAAAGTATGTGAAACAGTGGCTTCAAAGCATTTGAGCCAAACTCTTCCCTCCACTACGTGGAATGATAGGTATCTATAGGTTAGGCATTATTTGGCTACACATACTGTTCTCACTACAACAGCCTCATCCACTGAGTTGCAGTTCTGAAGAACCTGATATGTGAAATGAGTGCAAATGGGTACAGCGCCAAACTCTTCCCTCCACTACGTGGAATGATAGGTATCTATAGGTTAGGCATTATTTGGCTACACATACTGTTCTCACTACAACAGCCTCATCCACTGAGTTGCAGTTCTGAAGAACCTGATATGTGAAATGAGTGCAAATGGTTACATCAGTTCTGCTCCATCCTAAACACTTTGTAGCATAAGGATTCATATCTGGAAAAATACAAATCTTTCAAAACATTAACTATAAAATGGTAGGGGGCGTAAAAATTCACTCTCAGTAGAAGAGGGCACAAATTTATTTCAGTATAATCTTTTACTCAATAGTAGGAGATTGAGACATTTCTCCAGGTTATATTCATTCACATTCTGTATCTCAAGCCAGAAAAGACATTGATTCATTGATTGATTGGATTGATTGGATTGATTGATTGATTGATTGATTGATTGATTGATTGAATTTGTACCCTACCTATCTAGTCAACAGACTACTCTGGGCAGGGTACAAATACAATAAATGATACAATACAGAAATGTGCTATAAAGGATACCTTGAATGCTACCACATGATTCAATTGAAAGTATTCTCCTTCCAACAGCAGAGAGATGCCGACAAATGTCATTTGAGGATGAAAGTTTGAGTTTCTCTTTGCACAACGATATGACAGCCTATAACACCAAGTAAAGCATTTAATAACAATGCAGTTTTCATGCAAGGCATGTTTTCAAGCTCATAAAAGAGATTAGTATTACCTAGGAAACTTCAGCATTTTGCATTTGTAAAGTAAGCCATTAAGGAATTGCAACAATTTCCCTACTGTTAGCCTTTTTACTTGATTTATTAGAGATTAATTAAGCACAAAATTTCAAAATGTCCACAATATGGAAAATTGAAAAATACAATTAATACCTAACTGCAATATTAATTACCTTATCCATCTTGCCTATTTTTCTATTATTAAGTTTTAGTTGAATTCTGTCCATATTTTTGAATGAACAGTGAAGTAAGCAGCCATCATTCACTGAATGCTCTAAATGGGTGCCTGGTATGCTAATACACTGAACCAATGATAAAAAACATATTATCTCTTCACAACCAAATTAGCTTTAATTCCTAAAGTGCAATTAAACAGACATACATGTTGCCAAATATTTACAAGTTGTTCTCCAAAGATTTATATTTTGGCTTTGATTCTACAACAGAGGTATTAAAGCCAAATGGAACAAGTCAGCCAAATTGCAGTTTCAGTTGACAACCACCCATTCAGCTTCATGGCTGAGTCGAGATTTTAACCCAGATGTCCTGCATCCTTGCCCAGCTCTCTAATCGCTACAGCACAAGGACCATCAGCATTGTGCACAGTGCAATGGAAAACTGTGTGCATCTCATGTATAAAGATCTTATGCACTTACTTGGATCAACCATAGGCCCTCCACCTCCAGTTTTACATTACAGTGATGCCTCGCAAGACAAATGCCTCACGCAACGAAAAACTCGCAAGACGAAAGCGTTTTGTGAGTTTTTTGGTGACTTGCAAGACGAATTTTTCTATGGCTGTGTTTCGCAACATGATTTTCCCCCTTTTTTCAGGGGTTTGTTTTAAATTGCACAACCATTAGTACTGCGCTTCACAAGATGAAATTTTTGCAATACAACATGACCCCCAGAACGAATTAATTTTGTCTCGTGAGGCATCACTGTACTCACATTTGGTGTCAAGGAAGTGTCTTCTAAAATGTTAATGAAGAGAGGAATGAAGTGTTGTTTTTTTCTGATTAAGGTGGCAATTCAGGATCAGTGAGTATGATAGGAAAGAATTCTGTAACTGCCAAGATACCACCATAAAATTTTACCTCAATATCTGGCCTCTCTTTGGGATTTTCTTCATGCATTTGTTTAAGCAGAGTCTGTAGATCCTGGCTAAATTCTGACTCTGTTTCCATCTCCGTCACGTACTCAATCACTGCTTTTAGTGTGGCTCCCAAGGAAAAGATATGTGCCTATACGATTAAAAATGAATCAAAGCATTTTGCAAAATGAATGATTAGGTCCACCAAAGTTTATTAGTCAAAATAATCTTAAGCGATTGGTTGGTTATAGAAGCATCCTTAATAAATACTTCTTCAACACAAGTATCAACACTACTGATAATTTATGTGGCTCATTAGTAGCCTCTATTGTGTTCATAATGTCCACTGTACCTGGGTGGTCCCCATCCTGCATGTGGAAAACTAGGAAAAGGGGTCTAACTTATCCAGAAAATCAAGCAGGACAGCACAAACAGCAGAATCCACAAATAAAACTGTGAACCCAAGAACCAGACAGGACCACCAGTCACTAGGTATGCCCCACTAGAGGGGTGTGAAGCTGAGAACAGACAATTGTTTACCCATTCTAATGGACAAGGGAACTGTAAATCTGGTATATGGCCTTCCTAACTGCATTGTATTTGGGCACAGAAGGGATAAGTGCAGTTAGTGTTGTGACGGAGAGGAAGGTCTAGGAACAAATCAAAGAATAATGATGTTGGAAGGTAGCTATAAGGTGATTGAGACCAACCCCTTGCCAATGCAGGCAAATCAAAGTATATCTGATGGATGGTTGTCTGTGGGAGTAGAACTATACACACTAGAAAATAATGCCTGCCTAATATGCAGATCATTCCCTGCAACCTGTATATCAATTCTTCCTCAAATACTTTTTCATCTAGTTTCTGCTAGACAAGGTGCTCACTTAATGAAAAATGGAGAAAGAGACTAGGAGCAGGGTGCAGATAATTAGTAGCAACTTTTTCATCTAGTTTCTGCTAGACAAGGGGCTCACTTAATGAAAAATGGAGAAAGAGAATAGGAGCAGGTGCAGAAATAGTTCTCCTAATACAGTGGTGCCTCACTTAACGGGTGCCCCATTTAATGATGAAATCGCATAGCAATTAACTTTTTGCGATCGCTTTTGTGATCGCTTTGCGATGTTCCCTATGGGGAGAAATCGCTTTGCGATGATCGGTACCATGTTTCACTTACCGATCATCGCAAAGTGATGATTTTTTAACAGCTGATTGGCGGTTCCAAAATGGCCGCCGAGTAAAAAAATGGCTGCCCGCTGTTTTCTGGGATGGATTCCTCACTTACCGGGCAGCGAAAATGGCCGCTGTATGGAGGATTTTCGCTTAAAGGTGAGTCTGAAGCCCATAGGAATGCATTGAAGGGGCTTCAATGCATTTCTATGGGCTTTTTAATATCGCATAGTGACGAAATCGCTTTGCAGCGATTTTTGCTGCACCGATTATCGTTGCTATGCGAGACACCACTATATGCCGATTACTTCTAAATATCCCCCTACCATACTTCAGATTTATATTACAAATAAGAGTTTATGAATTTTGGTTTGGGACTTAAAATAACTTTAGTTAAGCTGGAGTCCCATAAAAAACAACCTTGAGAATAATTCAGGCGTTACAGCTAGAAAACAGATATGGTTTGAAGCATGACGGGGCAGAGAAATGCACATAATTCCTACTCCCATGTCCCCAACCCAACATGAAGTCAGGCACACCTTCATGCGCTCACATCAATCTCCAGTGGTTCTTTTGTGGTCTACTAAACATGCAATGATGTGTTTTCATGAGCAGGGACATTGCCTTATTACATCTCCCAATCATGGAAACACTGGGTGTTTTGCAGAACATCCTTTATAAATCCCATTGCAGAGCTTCGAGACCCTTGCTGTGAATATGTGAAGGACTGCCTGACTTCTGTGAGGAACAGGAACGATGAAGGCAGGTAACTCCCATGCCTCCAAATCTAGTTGCTTTCAGACATAACAGCTGAGTAGACAGGCTTAGAAGTAAGTCTCATTGAAATAACTGTGTCTTACATCTGAATAAGACATGCATAAAATTGCATTAAGAAAGTTCACAACATGACACTTCCATTCCTACAGGCATCTGTGATTCATTCCACATATTCAGGAGCCCCCTTCATTCTTCCAGGGAGGTTTGTAGGATATGTACCTCCAAGACAGGGAGAAGCAGGGCAAGAGGGCACAGAACACACTTCCCCCCCCCAAACTTCCTCAGATTGACTTGTCTAAGGATCCAAACACAGTGTACATAACTGGCCCTAGCACAAGGACACTGTGTAAAAATTGGTTAAGCAGATTTGTCGTTTAATGAGGTAATCGTTAAGCAAGACACCACTGTACTTCAATCTTTAATCCATACACATACCAGGCCTATGTGGCTTACAGGCTTTAATATTTTCAGTATTTAAATTGAGATTGCTTATGAATTCATACATATGTTTCATTTCTTCAGGATCTATATAAATAATTATCTAAACTATTATTTCTGTGTTATCTCCTGATGTGTCTGAGCATAAGCCTTTACTTTTTGAAGAAAATGTAACATCCCATAGCTCTTAATCTTTAGTATTAGGCATTGACACTAAAGCCAGCCCTTCCAGCTACATAATCAACACCATTACCTGTAAATAGGCAATCAACCAGATGTAAGTAACACAGTAATGCGTAAGCCCATTATGCATATTAACCTGCTACATACTACAGTTCTCAAAATGTACAGTATTATGCTGATGCGCATTAACAGCATAAGATCTGGAAAGAATGGAGAGCTTGAACTCAAATTTTTACTGAAAATTTATTAACTTTTTAATTCATCTGAGAAGGGATCAGTGTTATAGATAAGAATCAGTCAATGTGGGAAGGGCTAAGTATGCCCTTCTGCCAATTCTCTCTTCAGATTCTCCAGTCCATTCATTTAAAGCATCATCACATAAGGCAAATGTTCCCTATTTATACCCTTGTTAGATAGTTGTAGAAATTATCGGTCACATATCACACAGCCATTATCGAATCATTTACCTGGTCAGCAGTGTAACTGTAGTTTATTTCCCCCTCACTGGGAAGCTTCTGTTATTTTGTTCCAATGATGTAATAATATATTCCTTAGTGGTATGACAACCCTATAGATCCTTTTCTGAAGCCAAGTCACCAGGGAAGGCAGTGATCATTACTACTGTGCAGCTGTCCTGCTATAATTTTTTTAAAAAAAATTGTAGCCAGTATGTCAATCTGTAGGTAAACTTATGTTAATGGCCAGGGCACTGGTAGGTGTTGCATCACTCCACCTACTCTCTGGCAAGCAACACAGCCCTGGATGGGGGTGACAGGTAGGTGCAATGCCGTTCTTCCAGAAGTGCCAGCACATCAAGGGAAATTTTACCAACAGGAACCCCTTCCCACCATATTAATGCATCAGGAAAAAAAATTAAAGGGGCTGAAGTGCCCCAGAAAACAAGAGAGAAAATAAATTGGTACCATGGTGTAGCCAGCCATAACAATTCAAATAGGAGAAAATGAACTGGTAACATTAAAATACAATGGAATGATTGCTGTGGTGTATATACCACATGACCACGATTCTGTACATATGGAGGTATGGAAAGTATCATTAGAAGTGGGGAACATTTGCTTCATGTGATAAGGCTCTTAAGCTTCCCCAACAAAAGGAGACATTCAGAAGCTTTTAAATATCCCTACCATGTATAACATGATAGTACACCAAAACCATAATTTTCAGGGTCAGCGTATGCTGACAAGTCCAGTGTTCCAAAGTGGGAAGAGCATTTAGCCAACTAGATTGTCCACAGAGGGGACAGGAATCAACTATGATAAATAATATTTAAATCAGTAGTACCTGTTGCATATTATTATAACTAATATTTCTTCTGATTTTAGGCCAAACAAACGGATGTTTTTTATAACTAATATTTCTTCTGATTTTAGGCGAAACGAACGTAAAGTGTTTGGGATGTTTCCCACTAGGTGGAGCTTTCTCCAAGTCTAACTAAACAACTGACTGCAAGTTTAACAAAACTTACAAACTACTGCTGAACTCTATCAAATACATACCTACAGCTTCATTATTATTTTCTGCATTTTTAAAAAAAACTATGTTTCTCACTAAAGAAAAGCACATTTTAAAAAAGAAACTTGCATAAGGCCACTTCACATAACACAAAACACCTCACATAGAAGAAATTTCTGTAGTGAAAATGCAAAATTATGTTATCCATCATCAAGTTGACTCTGACTTATGGCAACCCTAGTAAGATTTCCAAGGTAGGTAATATACTTAAGTAATGGTTTCATGTTCTCAACTGCTACATTACACTCCATAGTATGCTAAAGTCCCCACAAAGAGCAAGTTCCCTGCACTTACTTTAAAGTAAAAAAGATTAAAAGACATAACTAGAGCATGCAAAATGCGAGTAGATAAATAGGTACCATCTCAGTGGGAAGGTAAACAGCGTTCCGTGTCTAAATCACACTGGCCATGTGACCACGGAAAGATTGTCTTCGGACAAACGCTGGCTCTATGGCTTGAAGAGTGGGATGAGTACCGCCCCCGAAAGTCGGACACGACTGGACAAAAATTGTCAAGGGGAACCTTCATCAAGTTGACTCTGACTTTTGGCAACCCTAGTAAGGGACAAAGGCTAATAGAGTTTTGTCAAGAGAATAAGCTGGTCATCACAAACACTCTTTTCCAACAACACAAGAGGCGACTCTATACATGGAAATCGCCAGATGGGCAATATCGAAATCAGATTGATTATATTCTCTGCAGCCAAAGATGGAGAAGCTCTATACAGTCAGCAAAAACAAGACCTGGAGCTGACTGCGGTTCTGATCATCAGCTTCTCATAGCAAAATTCAAGCTTAGACTGAAGAGATTAGGAAAAACCACTGGGCCACTCAGGTATAATCTAAACCAAATCCCTTATGAATACACAGTGGAAGTAAAGAACAGATTTAAGGAACTAGATTTGGTGGACAGAGTGCCTGAAGAACTTTGGATAGAGGCTCGTAACATTCTCCAGGAGGCAGCAACGAAAACCATCCCAAAGAAAAGGAAATGCAAGAAAGCAAAGTGGCTGTCCAACGAGGCCTTAGAAATAGCAGAGAGGAGAAGGGAAGC